ATGGCAGATAATTAGGTACTCCTTTAATCCATGTTGAGCTTTTTCCAGTCTTCCTCTAACTCAGAATTATATGTTCTGTTATGAGATCAACCTTGTCATTTCCACAGTAAATGTTCAACCAACTGTGCATTGGTTGTAGCTAATTCCGAACAGCAAAGCTTGTTTTTCGTATCTGGTAGAAGGTAAATACACAAATATGCCTTTGAATCAACCACAGATGTGGAAAGCAAGGAAACGTTGTCCATCATTTATTCTGGTTTTGTAACAACAGTATCCCCAACACTCATTTTTAATCAGGGTTTTATTGCACACAATTAGCCAACGCCTAGGGTCCTCTGAAATCAATACGATTCATCCAGCCTTGAAAAAACTTCTTGGTAACTCTGGTCCTTATAAAATCAATATCTTTCTCTCTTCATTAAATTTAATGATTTAATTTATATGGAGGTGAAATTAGATCTAATAACCTTGAACAGGACTTTATTATCTAGTTATGGCAACTTTAGAACATATAAGCAGGATAAGACATTCAAATTCATTACATGCAAATACAATATAAATATATTATTGGATTAAAAAATAAGTGATCTATGCATAACCATTTGAAACAACATTATATTAAAACTCACTAGGTTTGGATATGAAACACATTTTAAAAGGCAGCATAATGTATGAAAAGTTGCCAGGAAATGCATTTAAGATGTTCCAAGTTCATTTTACTTTGCCAATCTTACCCTCCTGTGCATACTGTACAATACGCAGAATGGAAAAACGTTATTAACTATAGATTACTCAGTTGACTAAAAGGTTTCCACTGCTTTCTTCAACTGCTATGGTTCATTTTACTGACAACCTCCATCCATCTTCCTGGCAAGTACCAAATCCTGCCATTTATGGGATACAGCCGCAGTAGCTCACACTAAGCAGCCCCTGCCTTGGATGCTTAAATAAAAACTTTAATTCTAAAAAGACCTTTCTCCTGTATGTAACATGGCGATGCAAGCAAGGTGTTAAGCAATGCTTCATTATATCAGACAGCAATCGGCATAGTTGTCTTCATTAGGGGCTTAGGAATTATACTCATTTATCATCAATGTTCATGAGTATCTACAAAAAAAGACACTTCGTAGCATCATCATCAGAAATAATTGTGAGTATCTATGAGGGTTCTTAATTTCTATAAAGTATTATTCAACTTTTCAGATTTCATAATTTGTATGCACAAAGTTGACAATATTATTTAAATAATTAAACTTATTCTTACAACTGTGCTGTTTTATTTTTATGATTTCATTACAGTGGGGTGAATGAGTGTGTGTGAGTTTATTTTTAAGACCCTCAAGGTGGCATTGAACTAGATTTTGAATAAGGACAGTGACTTGGTAGAGAGAAGACTGGCCTGGCAGTGGGAGGGACTAAACTGTTGTTCCCATCACTTCCAACAACTGGGAGGAGATACTTAACGTATTTGTTCCTCCCTATTATGCGATAAGAACATCTACATTACCTAGTTTGAATTGTTAAGACTATTTCTAATAAAATATTCATGTTCAGCATAAAAAAGTTAAGGTCTTTATTAAATAAAAGGGAGGGAGAGGACTTCTTTTTTAAAAGCTAGGAAATAAACCTTCTGAAAATAGCAACTTGGAGGAAAAGTTTTGATGGGCAGCTGGAACTCTCCTAACAGGTTCAGTCAAAACCCAGACAGACATAATACGTGCTCTTACCTGTCTTCCTTTATTCTTGCCAGCAAGGGCTCCAGCCATCCTAACGTGCATTCACAGTGTGCATCGAGAAAAGTTATGACCTGCCCTTTTGAAGCAGCGGCTCCTCGAAGGCGCGCACGTATTAACCCAGAGCGCTCTTCCATTCTAATAATTTTTACTGGTACTTCTAAATTTTTCACATAATTCTCTAATGTTAACTTGAGAAAATCTGTAATGTGCAAGAAGAATTTATAAAGTTTTGAAACCACCGTAAGACAGAGAAGAGATACTACTAACCAGATGGAAACACACTGAAATGGTGGGCAACTCCTATCGCTGTTTTTTGGTGTTATGTAAAATAGAGATATCGAGGAGGTGTCATCAGTAAATTAATGCACAGTGCATTATGACCCTGTCACTTGGCTGACAAGGATAAGGTTATATGAGGAATTTAATATACTAGGCGTTAATTTAGAAACTGGGCCACACTGGGAAATGCACTGCAGTCTCCGTAATTATACACTATTTTTGTTTAACCAGCACTAAAAATAATGACAAACATCTACAAACACATATAAATGCTCAATCATATGATCAATTGAGTTGGGAAAAAAAGGGAACACTTTTGAAAGCCATTTTGGCTGATTTTTTTAGGTTAGTAAGAACCAAATGGAATCATGAGATAAACTGAAAGAAATAGTTACTTGTTCCTGGAGTTGGCACCAACAAGGCACAATGATGAAAATTTGATAGGCGGTTGCAGGGTTAGTGTAGTTACAAGCAAAATGCAGATCATTGCCCAGTTACTTTTTTGAATATAATAAAGCTTTCTAATTTGAAAAAATATACAAGAAAAATGTTTATACCTCTTTCACTGGCATCATCTACCAAGATGACCTCAGAGAGTAGGTAGTGTGGGGAACGGTTTATAACACTGTAAACGGTTCTAAGGAGAGTGCTCCAAGCTTCATTATGAAATACAATGACTACACTTGTGTTTGGAAGTTCATCAGGGTAGACCTTTGTCTTGCATCTGGAAAAAAGGAAAGAGGGACATGCTAATAAATTCATTTTTTCATTCTGATCATTATAATAAAATTATCTATTGTAACAACTTTAGACTTGAAAGCCCTTTCCTACAGAAACACCTTATGATTATCTAAAGTTATTTTCCTTTTTATAAACATTGGGAGTAATCACACAGCACTTTGAAAATTAAATATGCATACTTGCTAATATTAACAAATTTTATTTTTTTACTAATTTTATATTAACTCCAGAGAACAAAGGGGCATGATTTCCACAAGTTTAAGAAAGCTAAAACAACATTCTGAGACTATCAATAGAAGACCAGGCTCAACAGGTACAGATGAATTCATTTAGTAGATACAATCACCTTCTTTGTTTAGAAAAAAAGAATTATTTAACTCCAAAAGTCCTAAGAACATAAAAAGACATATGTTCACAGGGTTTTGAAGCTTGTAAAACTGACATGATTTTTCTATTCTGAAATCTAGTCACGTAGGCTTTCCATTCTGTTGGAGAATGCCATAAACCACGTCTACTTGGAAGGAAAGTTTCAGGGACCATGATGCATTTTACAGATTCTCAATGAGTACTATTTAATCCAAATCAGAGATTACAGAAGGTGCAGGCTACCAGCACTTCTCCAGCTCTAATGTGAGAGGAGTCACTTTGGGATTTGTTAAAGCGCAGATTCTCTTTCAGTCGGTCTGGGGTGCAGCCTGAGAATCTGCGTCTTAAAAAACATTTCCAGGTAATTCAGATACTTCTGGTCATGGAGCATACTGGTTGGTTAGTAAGAGGTTACATCATAATTTTCATTACTTTCAGAATTTGATGTTTTGAGAAAAACATTGAATTTTGCTCATAAATTAAAAGAAGTCCAGATTTTACTTTTAAAGTCATCAATCTTAAAAAAGGACATTTGATAAATAATATGCTCTAGTTGGTCATACCAAGTTTAACATGCAGATGGCTCTCTATCAACTTGTCAACATTCAAACATGTCCATCATGTAATGTTAAATCACTGTGATTACAGAATATTAAAAAAAAAATAAGTCCCTGGATATCCAGAGCAGAAATAGAAGGTTATTTACCTTAGATTATTTTTCCCTGTAAAATACTCTGAGAAGCTAGAAAATGAAAATCATTCCATCAAGTAAAACGAATCAGATACTGCCTGCCATTCATAAGCAATGTAATCCACGACACAAAATTAGCATCGTTGAAATTAGTCTCCTTCACAGGTGAGTGAAAAAAAACCCAATAAAATGTAGGAGACAAAGACATATAATAAAGCAAATACTGAAGGCATGCCTGTTGAGATTTTAATCATCTTTTAAAACCATCTAAAATATCTACTCACTGAAGTGTTCCGCAATATAGCCAGATAAGAATGTACCATATACCTAACTATAACATTTCTTCAGCGTGTATTTATTTGAATAACATTCATTAAGCATCAACACCATATAAGATATTACGTATGTAAGAAAAGCCAAAATGTAGGAGGAAAGAAAAGTAGTTTGATTCACAGTCAACTCTTCCCATTCTGGTGGCAAGGTTCAAATAGTTCCTACTTGCCTCATCATCGTTTGACTTGTACCTCCAGGCAGTTATCACTACATGAAATTTCAGAGCTGTCTCGGTAACCTAGGAAGGATCCCACCATAATTTTCCTCAAACCTCCCTTCTTCTGCCTCATCCAAACACTCCCACATGTGCAGCAAGCTGAGCAAAATGCATGGTCATCATCAATAAAGAAGTCAAGCTGGAAAAGCAGTCCAACAGTCCACAACTACTGGTTCAATCCAAGGATGAGAGTCCATAAAGGCTACTCAGTACCATTTGGAAAAAAATAATTTCTTTTAAGTTACATATAACAAAGAAAAAATGGACCAGATATTAATTTAGATAAATCATTTAAAATGTCAAAAGCAGATACTTAGATCCAGCTTCTTAAATGATTTGCATCATACTTTATTTTTGTGGTTAAAAAAAGTTCACTCACAAATGTTAATTTTATATTCATTATTTGTGACAAAGTTATGATGAACTAATTTGCTGTTAATGCAGTTATTATGCTGACTTAGAGAAAATTTCCACTATGTCATTATTTAATGTAGCATAAAAATAAAATATGGCTAAGATTTTATTAATTCTTCCTCTTCCACCTATGTAAACAGTTATTTAGCAAAGAAAACTATGTATAATAATAAAATAATTATAGGCTAGTTCTTGTTAACACAGATTAATTATTTTCTATGTCAGTTTATCCAGTTATCTCAAGTACACAGATATGTATGAACAAGAGTTATTATATTCCTGGCTTCTCATGGATTTGTGACACACTGAACTGGAATTATCGCTTGTATTTCATCCAACCTGTTGTTTCACCTACAGTAAGATACATCATGATTTTATTTACCACTAGGAAAGAAAAAAATGTTGTCAAATAAACTGTAGCATAATGCTTTCTTATCACTAAGATCTATTCAAGACATACACAGAACCTATAGAAAAAGCTTTGCAACTCATTTGGACAAAGATTTCTATCAACATTGTCAGGCTTGCTTATGAATCAGTCATGCTGATTTCTTGTTGCTTTCAAATTTCTTTCATCTATTCTAATGCGACTTCTCCAGCTTTAGGTTGTATTGTTTAATGTATGAGAGGCAGACATCTGGCACATACCTCAGTAACAGAATACAAAACAACTTCATTTTCTTGTGAGCATCTTCCTATTAGAAAGCTGTGCCTTTCAAACTTTAAGGGGCAAAGGAATTATGTGGAGAGCTTGATAAAATGCAGATTCTGATTCTGTAGATCTGGGAATGGGCCCAAGGCTCTGCCTTTCTAAGAAGATCCCTTGTGATGTCAATTTTGCTGGTCCTGGGTTGACATGATAAGCAACAAGGCTATCTAATCAGTCAGGTGTTGATTAACAAGAAAATACAGAATTGTTGTCATTGCTCCTACAGTAAATATTGGCTTCCTCATATGAAATTTAATTTTTGCCACTGCTTCCTTGCCTTTCTTTTCAGATAATAATTCTTTGTTCTCATACTGAATCATACTAGAGTCTTTCTGAAAAAGTGTTGAATGACAAGCAAACTCTACACATACCGTATAAATACTGCACATACTTAGTTGAAGCATGACTATGTGAACAGCCGTGACTATGTTCCTACAAGCTTAAGAAACATTGCCTACATCACAGCTGCTAGCTGGCAGACAAGGTTTGTGACTAACCGTTCATGTGAACTCATCCTGATTTCAGACACGTTCAGTGTAAAAAGGGTACATTTAAAATAGGTGAATGAAATAATTTTTTTCTTTGGCCACAGAAAAGTACTAAAAAGGGTTCGTTTTGGTTTTTTTTAATGCCTTTAATATCTAAGTTGGCAGAATTTTTAACTCACTGATTTTTCCAGAAATTATAAAAACAAAACAAAACAAGAAACCTGTATGATAGAGGTGTGGGTAAGTACTTAAAACAGATACATAGATTGGACTTCTCTAGTAATCTCTTCTCCCTGACACCTGGCAGACTTCTTCTTTGTAGTATTACGGGAAGAACTTCACCACTGTCCACCTCAGCTTTTGTATCTTTTACATAATAAGATCAAAGTATGTAACGTGAATCATGTGGTAGACACTGTATGGTCTACACTGCAGAGTAAAGCTCAGAATGGCCAAAGGGTGGAATTGGAAAGGACCTTCAAAGTTGACTAGTTCACATATTTACATCACAGAATACAAGTCTCAAGTCACAAAATTAGTTCAATATTCTGCATAATATAGTAATAAAAAATAGTAATAATAAAGTAATTTGTTATTTCATAATATTAGTAATGAAAATGACTTCTGCTCCATATTATACACTATATAGAATATCTTAAATGATATTGTTGAAAAATAGAAAAACATTCAAAGTATTTAAAAACATGCCTTTTTAAATAGTTGATATCTTATAACTATATATCTTTAAATCAAAATGAGAAATAGATTCCCCTAGGATCATTGCATTAACACTAAGCATAGAAAGTCAGCTTTCATTGAAATTATGTACATATAGACTGAAGACATTTTTAGTGCTCTGCCTTTTGAAGACATTGTTTTTCTTTTATGTAAATATCTAAATAGAATTGGAAAAGTTGACATTATTATTGTAGGAATACAATATATATGTATTAACTTTAAGAGTAAAAGTAGCAGACTGCAACAGTAATTTTCATCAATTTGAAAGGAATATTTAATGCCCACTACTCAAATTAAGCTCCCGAAATCTAGTATTCCAGTAAAATCATGCACTTTATTATAGCAGCATTTCATATTTGCACTGTATTTTGATACTTCAAATCTACACTACCTGAAAGGAAGTAAAAGTGTATTTCTTTTAAATTCTTTAATAATATATCTGTGGCTCTTAATCTTGGCTGCACATTGGAAAGCCTGAAAAAAAAATTGACGTGTGGGTTTCAGCCACAAAGATTCTGATTTAGGTGTGGCCATGGGTAATGGGATTTAAAAAAAACCAAAACTCTTCTGTGAATTTGAATGTGCAGCCAAAGTTGAGAACTGTTACCTAAAGTTATTTAACAGAAACATTGATTTTTTAAAAATACATACATATATACATATATATGTGAAACCATTTTGCTTATATCAACATTTTAAATTAAGATGTATAAGGTTAGTATTTCTTTCTGTGTTTATATGAGATGAAATTAATAAGGCACTATTTCTTGTAATATTAAGCACTGGAGTCAGAAAGTCTTCTCCACTTCATTTACAATCTCTTTGGTCATCTGGATATATGCTAATTATCACCCAGTTTTCTGTGTATCAGCTGTTGACTTAAATATATGAGAAATGAATCCAGCTGCTCTTCTTCGGAGAGAATATGGGGCTAGAATCAAATTTCCACTGTCTGGAACTTGGAAATCCAGTGAGCTAGTGTACCTGGTTACCATCTTTCCCCTTAGCTATGCACACATTATGGGAA